ATACATTCAGGGCGATCTGAGTCTGGGTGCACTGAAAAGGCCGTGTGTGTATGATCTTTTTGGGGTATTTCTGCTGCATGTATGTCTATGTAGTAGGTTTTTGCGCTAGTTGCGCGCATGCTTCATCTCTTGAGGTGTTCACCAACCAAAACAAGGCTGGTGTCAGTTTATGACTTCTTCCACATATAGTCAGAGATCTCCGGTTGTCTCATGGATCATATGGATCATACGTGTTCATAGTTGTTCCATGTTGTCTCACGGATCGTCGGTTGTCTCACGGATCGTTTGTTGTCCCCTGTTCTTTGCCCCTCCTCCTCTTTCAGGTCCGCTTTGAGAACCCTGCCGACGCCCTCGAAGCCTCGGCGTCAGCGCCTGAAAAAGGGTTACGGGGTCACCTGGCTTGGGAAGCCTCTACACCTATACCTACAACATCCCAAAAACAACTTTCCGGAATCGACAGGACACACCTGCAAAAGGTCTGCAGGCAGACATCTCTATACTCTACATGCAAGTGGAAAACCACCTGTTTGTAGTTGATTTCATGGCCATTCTTCACGTCGTTAGTTCCAGGGAGTGCAATGTCTAATCCCTATCATGATCGCTGAGGCTAAGGCAACCGGAGGATCCGATTCCATCCGTCGGACGAGGTCTAGGGTCAAAAATCATGCAGGGTCAGACCCTCCAAAACTCGAATGATTTCGGTCTCCTGGCGGATCACGTTTCTGCGCGAAAGACGGGTCAGAACTGGCAGAAACGTGATCCGCGGATGCGAGCCGCTCGCGCCTTTGCGCCTTTGGAGCAGCGAAGGCGAGCGGCGTTCGGCGTTCGGTCACTGCGAGCGTCGGTCGACCGGTCGGCGTCGGGGTCGGCCGAGCGTCACGCCAAAAGGGCGGAAGGCGGGTCGACCAGCAAGCAGGTCAACAAGAGACCCTCAACGGCGGAAGGCGAACGATGATAGCTACCCAGCACCTGAAAGGACCTTCCAACAGGTCACCACCTGCCACTTGAACAAGTCTGCATTTCAGCCACCAAAACTCGGAGACCTGTTGGAAGGTCCTGGTACATACATCTACTGCAACATACTTTCGAAGGAGAACATGCACACCCCACAGAATCCAAGAATCCAAGAATGAGAAAGTCCCATGTCATAGCACGTCATGGGGCGAAATCCTTCGTTTTCAACACCCAAGAATTGCCAAGAATCCCCGCCATTGCCGTTTCACTCCCCAGGAATTAGCTTCGATCATGATCCCTGCCATTCCCGGAGCATGGGATCACTCGGAATCGAGGAACGATGGTAGCTGGATTGCCGGGCACCAGGTCTCTGCGGGGTGACCCAGCGGCACTGGGTGTCTCAGTTTCGTCTGAAGTCTCCAAAACCATGCGATGAGAAGACGGAGAGGTACTCGTCTCGTAGGATGTGTGTGTTTAAGTTGGGTAAGTCAAAGACTCTCAACTTCAGAGGAATTCTAGAGACGAAAGCGAGGAAAAACCATGAGACAAACGAACCAGGCAAGAGGGTCGAACCAACACGGCTTCGTGGCATGGCCCTCGTCCATGCGACGAAGGAAGAGGCTTCCCCAGCACTGGGTGAGAGAGCGCCAAGAGCGCCCAGAGACGGGTGATGGAGATGAATGATGCACCACCTGGGTTCCAATGGGACTGGATGGATGACGAGTCCTGATGGACTTCCCATGAAAACGCTCCCTCCTGTGGGGATGTTGAGAGCCGCAGACAGGAGCGATTCAGAAGATGATTCATAAGGCAACCAAGTGCATCCAAGGATGGTGGCCAGTTAGCCAGCGTCCAGGGACTCTGGCAGCTTGCTGGATCTCATTGGCACATCATGATCTCGTCATATGATAGATGGATGGTTCAACCTGGAGCCCTGGTCCACCGTGTAGCCAGAGACCTTCAAGGTAGGTCGTGCCCAAGGTATCCCGGTTTGAACAAACAGCCATAGATCATCGCGCCATGTTGTATCAGTTGTTCAGCCATGCATCCTATATCATCCTATAAATATCCTGCAATCTATGAGTCTCAGGCTGTTGTCCTTTTTAATGGGATGAGATGTGTCATAAGTTTTTCTCCCACATATTTCATAGCTGGTCGACCAGTCCTCGCTGTGAAAACCAGCGCCCACTCCTCTGCCGAGGTCCAGCTCGACCCGTCATCTCATGATCTGCGCCTTGGACGCGAGAGGTAGGTTTGATTTCCCTTTTCTGGGGTGGGATGTTCTTTTAAGCTGGCGGTCTATGACCACAGACAGCTTCAAAATCAAAAGTACCCGTATTAAATTCTTTCAATGTGAGTTGAAACGTCAATGATCCGTAGCCAAACAAGGTTTGTCCAGTGGAAGCTCACCCCTGCTGCCAGCTCCTTGCAGAGAGTTGTTAAGCCAATAGAGGTGGTTAGCCCAGCCTCAGTCCATCCTTCTTGCACAGTCAAACCTTGTTTTGCTATGTTTTGCTTGGAGAGAGTTAAATCTTCTGCAACTGGGAAAATCTCCTTCTGGGGAAGATTGTTTGTTTCTTCACGGTTCCTCAAGCAAATCAAAGAAGAACAAGTCTGGGAAAGACCTCACCTTGTGAGCATGCGCCTTTTCACACGGTGTTTCTGGCGTTTAAGCTTGTTTGTCGACGTCCATGTCGGTGGTGTGTTCCTGAAGACGATATGACGGACCTTGTAATGAGAGACTTTGGGCCAAGACTGGCTTTTTTTCACATCCACATCATATGCTCACCCTGCATACGCAAGCCAACCAGCACCTGTCAAATGGGTCACCCATTGAATGACCCTACACGACTTGTGGGCCTCCAGATAAGAGACGTCACGTCCGTCGAATTCCCATGGTCCGATGTCCGAAGTCGTCTGTCTTTTATGCGCGGGACGTGGTTTTCGGTGGTGTTCCCTCCAACTGTTCGGTGGGTCAGGAACGTTCGAACGCCCTTCGATCTATCCCAGGCGTTCCGGGTACCCCAGGTTTTCCAATTCCTTTTTCAGGTCACTGAACCTCTCTTGGCTGTTGAGAGACCTATAGAGACCTCCTTGGAAACCTCAGAATTGGCCCTATCGCCCATGGACCAAAGCTCCAGCTGTCGCTCCGCCTCGGGGCACCGTGACGGGTCGCTGTCGCGCCCGTGTGGTTTAGTGGGCAGTAGACGGTGCCGGATCCAAAGGCTTCGTAAAAGGTAGACAGAGGGCCCTGACCGGATCTGATCACCGTTGGATGGCTGAAGTCAATCGAAGGGGTCCACGCGGTTGGGATGGTCCATGAACTTCCCCACACCGTCTTCCCCACTGCGCAACTGGGGCAAGAATCTCTTATTAGGTAAAGTCGACTGCCAGGTGGTTTTTAGTCCCTTATAGAGTGGATGTTCTGAGAGCACCCTGACTTCCCGCAACCCGACGTGTGACTCCTGGTGGATGTTTTTTGGCTCCTCGAACCTCGTCCAGGTCCAAATTGATCGTCCAGGGACTTCCAGCGACGTTCCGATGGCAGGAGCTCAAGGCCACGCGCGCGTGCGTGGGCCACGTGCACGCGCGATCCAATGGGGATGCCCAGCTGTTGGGATCGAATATTATCCGGGGTGGAGCTTTTTCAGCTCATCTTGCAGTTCCATTGCTCAAACTTTCAGAACAGGTGGCTGGCTTGCCTCGAATCTGCGGCGCCAGGCTTCCACATGTCAGGCCTTACCAGCCGTGACCGTCGCGGTGACCGTCGTACCTCCTTAGAAGGGGGACGACGACCTTCCGGTCGCCTCACCTCAACACATCGACGTAATAAATGCCAGGAGTCGGAAGGACCGTGGATTTGGGAGAAGCCTTTTGGGGAAGGTCTGAAGGGGATGTTCCGAACCAACCGCATGAGCAGGCGGGGAACCCACGCCGTGGCAGCTTCGGTGCAGATTCGGTGCCAAGCCTCGGCTGGTGGGGTGGAGACCCCCCCCCCCGTCACACGAGGGTGGGCCAGGTCCAGGTGTCTGATCGGAGGTGGAGGTTTTGTTCGAGCAGAAACTGGACAGGTCCCCGTTTTCAAGGTGCTTTTCAACTAGGGCGCCCCCCCCGTTGGATGTGCAGAAGGACATGTGTTGGCTGGCATGGCATGCTCTGACGGTATGCACACCCAAAGACCGACGGATGCCAAGTGGTCTCCATCCACGTTCCAGGACCACTTTTCCCAATTTGGACCAGTGGCCTTTGCGCAGATGCAGATGAGTGAGACACCCAGTCATCCGCCACACTGCCAGAACCCACTCGTGGCGCACAGAGCTGGATGGCTGGAGGATGGCTGGAGGTCTTTTGTCACAAGGGTCCAAGGTAGGTAGGTAGGTAGGTAGGTAGGTAGACCCAATCAGTGTCAACAAATGGTATATTTTACCAGTAGGTTTTGGTCTAGAGTCTATCTTCCTTGTCTTTGGGAGAATTTTTAGACTGAGCAATTGGGAGGTTCCAAACCCAGCTTTGCCAATCTTTAGGTCCAATGTTTAGGTGGCCCCTAGCGACGACCTTTCAAAAACGGTGTCCTGCTAGTAGTCCGCTCTTGATGCCTGACCTTGTTTGTAAAAGAGTTTCATTTGCACACACCCAACAATCATGGAGGTGGACAACCCCCTCTTGGTATTTCGGAAGACCGTCTTCTAATGGACCATGCCATCCACGTGGCCGTGACTCTTCGGTGAGGTCGGGTACCATTCCAAGAGTCCACCAGATTCCGGGACCCTGGTATGGAGGATATGGAGGGGTCCTAAGTTGTGGGTCCTTAGGGTGGGTTTCGGGGTCCTTAGGAGGAGCTTCTAGAAGATTCATGCCTTCCAGTTACTCTGTCTTCAACTAAGGGCTAAGAAGTCATGACAAAGAGAAGAAGAAGAAGAAGAAGCAGAAGAAAGACACTCAATCAAGTGAGATCTCGATCGAGCGGCTCCGTGGTCCAACTCTGGAGCAGCAAACCTTTTTAATGTTCAATGTTGTTTGAGTCAGTTTTCCCGGAGCAGTGCCCAAATTGCCCAGTTTGAGTTTGGTATACCAAGATACCAAGGAAATCCAACCTGAAAAAAAATAAAACAAGGACACTGTTTAGTTTGGTTGGTTCCGAAGCCTTTTGGCTTACACACTTTGAAGGTTTTGAACATTCGGGTAGCGCCCCAGCGCGCTTTTTGCGGCTCCACCACGATGCAGGCGATCCTGACTGAAAGCCATGTGGATCTATGCCTACAGAGGTTAAGTGACCTCATAGGACCCTACAGGAGTACCGAACTAGGATAGTCGAACTAGGGTTCTTCAACCTCTGCTGGTGTGGTCGGGTTTGGGAAGCAGAACTTTAAAGTTTTAAAGTAAAAGAATTGGGAGAGATTACAAACTGGGGAGAGATTCTGGACTGCGATTTCCGGTGGCTGTGTACCCTCGAAACAGATTCCGAACTGGGTCCCTCCGTTCCCATGGTCCGAACCCAGGGCCATGCGACTCTGGTTGAGTCGGAACCCACTCCGACTTCGTGGACCCGGGCAGGGCAGAAGAGACGGAGCTGGAGCTGGGCAGCTGAGACTTCCAGGAAACGGGTGAGTGATGGAACCCAGAAAAGAGGTGGGGATGCCAACAGGGGTCAAGTGACCGTAAATAGGACCCGGAAAACCAGGGGTACCCAACTGGGATAGTCTAGTTCGGGTTCTTCTACCTCTGCACAAGGTCTCTTAACCTCTTTTGGTTTGGATGGAACTCTCACCACACCCTGTTCGGCGGCAGTCACCTGCCGCACTCGCAGGCAGTCAGTCCCTCGTCGTTGCGCTTCTCCTTTTTCGATGGTGCCGTCGAAGTGGTGACCCGGAACACCTTCTTGGATGTGGAAGTCGTGCCTGCCGACACACAGGACGGTCCAGTGATGCGGTCCCTGGTGCGGGCTGGTGGGAGTGGGGTCTCCTATAGAGGGACCTTGAATCCCTGAAAGTCTGTCCGGCGGCAGTCACGGATGGATGTTCTGAAGCGTTTCAATGTGGTGTGTTTGCGAACAGAGGATGATGGATGATGTATTCATGTCATGTTCATCTTGAAGCAGTTTTGAGCAGAAATTAAGTACAAGTTCTTGAAGGTAAGCCCATCCTGATATTCTGTTTTTTCCACTGTTTTGCCACGAAAACTCCAAGAACACTCGCAAACGCATCGTGGAAGCGGAAAGAAACACCGCCTGGTTTGGTATTCAGATTTCAGATGTTCATCCAACGGGGGCCGTGCTCTCCAATCCGGATGATGTCAGGGAGTATAGAGTTGTTGACTTGAGTATGATCCCTAGGATTCCAGCTACCTGGAAGGCTAGGGTAGTCTTTGACTCCAGGCGGGATTATCCAAATCATCAGTGACCATTGACCACAAAGACGCTCATTCTTGCTGATTGAGTTGGAACAAATGATTCATGGTGTGAGTTTGATTTGCTCCATGTAACATACAAGGATTCTACTTTAAAGTCTTTAAGTCCTGAAGGCCTGGAGGATAGAATTTTTCGCAGCTATATAGATGCGTGAAGGGATATAAAAACCTATGCCAGATGGGACGAGTTTGGAGGACTTTATCCTGATGCTCCGAGGAATATGATAGGCTCAACTTTATATCGATCAAGTTTCATGTTTCAGAGCTGGCAGAGTCTCCAGACAAACTATGTAGTTCAACTGAGCAAGGGTAAAAAACCTGTCATAGATATGACTAGCTAGGGTTCTGTCACAAGAGCCTTGCGCAAATAAAGCACTCCAAGGTTGCATTAGAGCACGTGTACGCAAGCTAGGTCATTGGCGGTAAGTTCATGCTCTCGTCTACGCATCCTACGCATCCTTACAACAGACAGCAACAGATCACACGTTTTGCTCACCTGCCCAAAGGAGCTGTGTCGGACGAAGAGCTGCCCGGCGCTGTTGCACTACAAGGAAGAGACGCTGCTTTGCTATGATGTGTTTTTTCTTGTGCAGTTTCAGGTGGTTTCAGCTGGTTTTGCTTGGGGTGATTGTTCTGTCCCGAGCTGAGTGAATCCCCTTTGTGGGGAATATTTGCTTTATCTTTTAGACACCCCGGTTTGCGGTGTCTAATCGTAGTAACCTCTAAGGGGTGTGCATTAACAATACCATAGTATGCATTGGGCTTGTGCCATGCCTACCAATAGTCAGTACAAGTACAAGATGGGTTTTTAGGAAAGGTCAACAGGGACCATGTTCCACGAAAAGCCCTTTCAGACTCATTGTTATGTTCAGCCCCCGACCTGCTTTGCCTTTGTAGCTCTTCAACCTATCTTGCATGATGCTTCATTCACTTTCCTGGTTCAATGCAAGTTTTCCAGTGAGAAACCCTACAGTTGTGGAAGACAAGTAATACCCATTCAACCCATCGTCGAAAGCTCCCCTCAATTTACTCACAACGTTTTTTCACACAAATTCACACCACTCTGATCCGTGAAGAGACCCACGTTTTAGTTACAGTATCTTTTGTGATGGGTCCTGTGAGTTGGTGAAGCGCATCAATAGCTGAGCGTTGTTCCTGTTCCTCCCTGAATTCAACACTAAACGCACACAAGCTGTTTGAGATTGAATTTGGGTTTTGAAAAAGTTGAGAACAGTTTGCATTTGCTCTTACCTATGGTCTCTATAAACACGGGATTGCTGCAAGACATGCTTTCAGGTCATCAAGCCTGGTCAGAGCGGCCACCGCAACGAATCACTCGTGATCCCCAAATAGATGACCGTGGCATGGTGTCCAAAACATCGTCTACCTGGGGATTTACATGCGTGTACTATGCAGTTTACTATGTTCTATCATTGGGGTTCTATATACAAACATCAGGGTAAATCTGAAAACATCTCTACGCTCCCTGACATAATCATGGAAGTAGATGGCGCGGCCCTTGGAAAATCACGAAATCATGAAATCTGAATACCAAACAGGTGGTGTTCACTCTACTTCCATGATTTTGGGGAGTGTAGTTGGGTCAACTCCACCCTATGGTGACCCGAAAAAAACAGCAGCGCATCACCGGAGGACGAAGCCGCCGAACGTCTCGACCCGTCCGGTCGCGCGGTAGGGATGCGGCCAAACCGCCACTGGTTCGGTGGCCAAAACGCGGTGGGGTGGAGGGCTGGATGAGATCAAAACACCGCAAGAGGTGGAAGCCACCCAAATCACCCTTAATCAGGATCCTTAAGGATGATCCGCTCACCGTTCAGAATTGTTCGCTACAACCTCTGAGGCTACGCCTTAGAGAAAGAAACAGGGGCAACAAAGGTGGGTCAGAACCCCAAAAGCTATCTTATGGGTCCCCCAGGTTTTCCGGGTTCTAGTTCAGGTCCTTCAACCTGCTGGGGGGTCCTGGCTCCGCCTCAGGCATTGCCTCGAATTTGAGGACACCAAGCAATGGGAGACTTGGCTCCACCGCGCGTCGGACGGGTACATTCCCCCCGGCCGAGGTGAAAAAAAAAGAAGGCCGAGCTGAACCGTTCAACCACCAAAAGCAAAACAAGAGATCAGTTGATATATCAGTTGCACCCCAATGTAGGTATATATGGCAGTTGCATGGAGTGTCTGGGAGTTGTTTTTGTTCTTAATCTTAGGCCCTTAGGCTTGTTTTTTCCTCGGGTTTCTCGAAGTGGACGTCCGTCTCCCCCTGGAGATTTGATTCATCGCGTCAACATGGACCTTCATTAATTTTGACTACTTGATTTGATTCGCTTGCAATACTTCTCCAGGCGGACCATCCACGGACGTTGGATGATGGATGGCCCACAGGACACCATGTAAGGTCGTCTCGGCTGCACGGAACACCCGAGCTACGCATCAACTCAGTCGGGAACACCCCGATGGACTCCACTGCTAGGTATCATGATGTTACTGCATGGTACTTAAAAGATCGGTACATTAAAGGATTATAATCGGAGTACCAGCAGTCACGTTCGGTCGACGGGGTGCGTGCCGAACTTGGAGGGTGTCGTCGGGGTGCCTCTGTCACATCCACTCACTGGATGGGATGAGCCACACCACCCCGAGCTCTGTGACTGCTGGTCTCACACTTCGGGAACGACGGCGCCATCGGGTCGCCGCCGCACGAACGAGCACGACGGGAGCTGACCAACAAGAGCAGAACAACGGGAGAAGACCCAACCCCTTGCTAGCTAGCCATCATCCTCCACTGTACATGGATGTAACTTCCCGCAAATTAGCTGTATCTGTACATGAGTACGAGGCTGCATGTTTGTTTTAGTTTACCATGCGCACAGGTGTGCGGAACAGGAGCCCCTGTCTTTGTCATAATATCACTTCTTACTTGTTTTGACATGCCAGCCACAGGCGCCAAGTCTCAGACGTTCTTCTAGTGCCATCGCTTTCCATCGCACTCGTCTCCTCTCCACCGACACGTTGCTTCCTTGACATCTTCAGGCCAGGCTTACGACTGAAAGCACCCAGTGCCCTGAGGATGAGACCGAGCCTTGGCCCGCACGTGCACGTGTCACACCGAACGGGAGACGGGAGACTGGAGCGTCGCCGACCCTGCAGACCTCACCAGAGAGTTTTGGACTCCTTCACCAAACCTTCAGCGGCTGAGCCTTGATTCGGCTGGGTGGAGGAGCCGACATGTCAGTGGTGCATGGCACGCCATGGCACGCCCATCCGACCGACTTGCAGTGCAAGTCCGGGGGTGACGTTCTTGTTTTGCAGGTTCTTTGGGTGGAATGCCTCTAAGGCACAGAGGAATCAACCATCTCAAGCAACCACTGCACTTTAGGCGTTCCTTTTCCAACCCGTTAGAAGGACTTGCGACCCCTGAGAAGGAACACCATAGAAGGCCGACATGTCAACCTATCCATATCCATTCTGCCGCGCGAATGGCATGACGCGTCAGAATGTACCCAACAGCTTCGTTGCGCGCGAGTTGCTCAGAGCCGCTCTCGCCACGGGTGCCATGCCGGCCGTCAGATGCCGGCACGGACGGAGGGGAGGTTCGGATGGAAGCAGGGTACTTGCATACTTGCAAAGGGCCCGCCCAGGGCGATTGACCCAAACACATGTCGTTGACGCAACACGCTTCATGCCAACAACAGTCGGCAGGTAGGGTAGAGACCATTTGTTTCTTACAGTGCTCCACTTGACCCCATCGTATATATAATATATAATCTGAAACAACCTTCCAGACCGAGTAGGCAGGCCGAACAAAGGACCCTGAGCCGAATTGTTCTTCGCACGAACTAAGGACCCTTTGCTTGGCTTGGACAGAGAGGAGCCTTGATTTGAGAAGTGATGTACATCAGACCGGTCAGATTCCGGTCCCAAAATACTCTACAGCCGCTGGCTGTGCTAAGTGAGGCCACCTGTCAGCTCCACCAGCTGTAGACAGAACCTCCACTAGAAGCTTTAGGGGATCCACGTCTTCGGCCCCTCAATCCGCCCGTCAATCCGCTGTGGTCTGAGAAACTCCCGCCCTGCACACGTCACAAAGAGATCTCGTACTGGGGTCGACTGGCAGTGGTTTTCATGTTTGTGTTCTTTTTTGTCCAAGTCCGACAGAGTCACTGGTGGTGACATGTTTTCACCATATGAGAATGTGAATACTATAGTATCCCAATGTTTGGACGAAACAAGATAATAAGCTGATGTAAATCTGGGTTGCATGTCGCAAAAAAGCTGGCCGCGTCTGCTCCAAGGAGCGCCAGAGTGAGGGTGGAGAGGGTGAAACCGATTGGCAGTGGAGCGCTCAGCATGTCGAGCCGAGCGAGAGCGGATCCGCAGTGGATGGTCGACAGGCATGATGGTCGACAGGTTCGTCGAAGCCACGTGCTATCAGATCATCGACTTATTGGAAAACATACACGTTCATCCATCAAAATTGTGTGAGTCCACTTTCCAGGTCAGTTTGCACTGTGATGATCAAGAACATCCCCTGCCGCTGCAGTTCAGAAGAGGTGACTTGCTCGGTGAGGCGCCGTTCCCTTGACTGTGAGGGGGTAGACCCCATCGGTTTGCGGTGGACGAGAAACCGGAAAATGGTGACGGTACGTATAGTACGGTTCTCCGTAGAATTCCGTCGTCGTAATGTTGACATAATAAGTAACTTCCCCCTCAAGTCCAGCTCGAGCCCCCGAAACTAAACTAATTTAAAACCTGAATTCCACATTTGCATAACCCTAATAAAAAAAATATCTTTGCCAGAAACCTCCCCGTATTAATCAAGCTCAGCTGCCCCAGAATAATATAAATAGCCTTGTTTATCCGTGTTTACTGTTATATTATTGACTTTGTTTTTGGTCAGTATCCAATATCTTGAGGTCCACTGCTTCTCATCCTCCTTCTGCTTCATTCTCATCCATCATTATCATCCTCCTTCTGCTTCTCATCCTGCTTTTTCTTCTCATCCTTCCCTGTTAACAAACCAAAAAGCTCGCTAGCAAAATTCCGTCATGTTCCCTTATCAAAACTCAATCAAAGTCTTAAGGTGTTCAAGCTCAAAAAGGGTACCCCCCACAGGGCCGGCCCTACCACCCTCTAAAAGTAGGGGCCCATCCGGCCCCTCCCCTAGTAATCAAGCTCACCATTTGGCTTCCATGTTGTGTTCCATCTCTTTCATCCTGCAATCCTCTTTTGTGAAACCAAGCATGAGGAACCATGCACCAGAGGTTGACCTGTTGCCAAAGCATGTCACTTTCGCCACCCGCAATTCGCGGTTGGCTCAAGCCCGAAACGCCCCGCAGGTGGAAAAGCTTCCTGCGTTTGCTTTTGAGCATGTGCTGTTTGTTCCATGGAACCTGCTAGAGCGACAGTTGGTGGCGCGGAGCCTACATCCATAGATCCAGGGAAAGCAGTCGACGAACCACACCTAGCTGAGCCGAGCCAAAAGTTAAGCGACAGGAGCTTCTACCCACGAGGACTTCAGGCGAAGGATCCCAACGCTTCGGGAGCAGATGGACACTCGGGGGCGAGTGCCGGGGGCACCGGCGGGGCGACTCCCTCGATGCAGGGGCATGCATCGGCCTCGGAGTCAAGAGCCGGTGACAGAGATCCAGGACAAGATCCTTGGCTGCAAGCCGACCCATGGGCTGGACCCGCGGGAGCGGCTCAGTGGACTACTCGGGTTCCTCAGGGAGATCCTTGGGGAAGCAGCTGGAACTATGGTTGGAAGCCCTCCTCCTGGCAGGCAGGAGACTGGACTTCCTGGAAGGGTTGGGAAGCCATGAACTATGCCACCGTGTCGCATCGGCCGACCTATGCCACAACGGCAGACGTCACTACATCGACCACAACGCCGATTACGAGTCCGGCAGCGGCGGCTGGGCAGGTGCCTCTCCATGCGTCGACGGCTATGCCCACCAGTGACTCGGCTGCGTTTAATGCCATGCCGAGCTCAAGTCCTCCGGCCGGCCCGACATCCTCCACGGCTACATCCTCACCGTGGACACCTCAGGAGTGGCAGCAGTGGAATGCCGGTTGGCAGGGCAGTTCATGGGGTTGGGACCGCAATCCCAAGCCCGACTACGCCGACCCACCACAGTGGCCGGGTTGGTCCTTTCGCAAGCACTGGGTGACGGCCGTGCGCAGGTGGAACAAAGGAACCGACGTTCCGGTTCCCCCGCAGGGCAGAAAAGGTCCTGCGGGTCCTGGGATGGGAGTTGATGCCCGACTTCGACCACCTCACTGAGGAGGAGCTGGCGCAGGGTGACTATCTCGAGAAGATCATCACCATCATCGAGGCCAAGGCCGGTGTTCGGGAGGACGACGAGAAGAGAAAAGTGTTCAAGGCGGTGATGACCGACTCTCACCGCAAGAGGGATGAGTCATTGACACAGTTCACCCTTCGAAGAGAGAAGGAGTTCACCCAGGCGGCACACTATGGCATGATCTTCCCTCCGTCGCTGAAGGCCACCATGCTGAAGGAGGGAGCCCTGTTGAGCGAGCAAAACATGCAGAACATCTCGGTCCTGCTGGGCAGGGATGAGGACAATCCCGCAGCTGTGTCAAGGGCGATTGCTCGCTTGGACGTGAGGTCCGACAAGATGATTGGCTATGCCACGGAGGTTGGAGGATCCTCCACCTTCCTACAGGACCAGGCCGAGGAGATCGAGGAGTCTGGCGAGGAGGAAGAAGAAGAGACGGACGAGATCGTTGCCGCCGAGCTGGACAGCATGAACCTCTCCGAGACTCAGATCCAGGAGGTCTATGCGGTTCTCGATCAACGCCGGCGGAGGTCCTGGAAGGAAAACAAGATGTTCAAAGGCCTCCGTCAAGAAGGACAGGGGCTCGTTCCAGAAGAGTGAAGATGGGCCGAATCCGCCCAAGGGCAGGTTCGGAGGAGTTCCAGGGTCTTCCTTTCGAGCAAACCGTGACCGCAAACCTCATCAGCGGATGTCCCGCGATCAACTCAAGAAGATATCCACATGCCGCCTATGCGGAAAGAAGGGACATTGGGCCGAAGACTGCACGAGTGGGAAGAACCCCGTGACCAGTAAGACCCAGGGCTTCTCCTACACCTACATGGGCGGAGGTTCGACGGAGACGTCATCTCACTTCTCCTTCCTGAGCGCCGCTCGGATCCAACAGGTACGTTCCGAGGTGGCTCAAGCATGTCAAGATGTGTTGCAGTGCATGCCACCCCAGGTCTCCGGCCTGGAGCAGATGTCCTTCCTGACCATCCCCTCAGGAGAAGCCATCCTCGACATTGGCGCCACTCAGGACCTGATCGGCGAAGAGGCGGCAAAGGCTCTTGAAGGACGACTCCGTGAAGCAGGCCTTCGGGTCATCGAAGTGGATATGCCTCGAGTTGAGCCCTCAGGGATAGGTGGTGCAGCAAAAGTCTCACGAACCATTTTGGTTCCTGTGAGCATCGGAGGTGTGCCCGGAACCTTGTTTATGACAGTTTTGGAGGCCAACATCCCTCCCCTGCTGAGCGTAGGTTTCCTGGAATTTTTGAAGACAAAGATCGACCTGGAAGAGAATCGGGTCTTTTTTGGAAAGCTAGGAGTTGACATGAGTATGCAAAGACTGCCATCAGGCCACCGGTGCGTGTCCCTGGTCGAATGGACCGGAGGCATCTTTCCCATTGCCCCGGAGGTTCAGAAGAAGCACGGATTGGCACGACACGCCTTCAATCTTGCTCCCTCCTCCTACTTTGAAAAAGAAGAGCCGGATCGCTGGGACGTGATTAGCCCCGAAGAAAAGCACCTATCCAATCCACCAGAAGAAGGGGTCAGAATTCCTAGACAGGGCCGTCCTTCGAGCGATTCAAGCATGTCTACATCCTCATCAACTACTACTACCTCTTCAACTATGACGTCTAGAAGGACATCTACATGTGCTATGGGGCCCCCTACTTCTAGCCGTTCCACGCCGAGTCCACCTTCGTCGATGTCGGATGCAGTAGCATTGAACACACCATGGAAGGCAGAAGGTGAGAGGCCAGGTCAGTCAAGCAAGAATTCTTCAGTCCATTCGGGAGCCGAGGAGTCACCCGACGATGAATTGTTCCCTCAAGCCGATGTCATGGGTGGTATTTTGACCACCTCTGCCCCGCAATTCGCTCAGTCCTTCCGACTCTCCCACGACCATGGAGCCCCGTGCCAAGCGCAGCGTGCCGGCGAGCGCCCACGATGCGGAACGCGCTGTGAGCCGATGGAATGGACTGATGACTCGGCTCCTCTTCCTGATGGAGACCACCCGAGTGATGCTGCTGCGCCTCATGAAGGCCGAGAAGACCCAGAAGAGCGTCAAGTCCGAGCGGGTGAAGTACGTGGAGGAGACTCAGGCCACAAGCACACACTGCACTCATCCCGAGCGCAGTCGACTCAACAGAGGAAATCAGTATGCTTCATGGACAGTGTGCGGAGCCTGCGGCGCCCGCACCAGCTACGAGAAGAAGAGGTCCAAGGCGAAGGCCAAGGCCAAGAGCCAGAATGCCGTGGCCGACATCCGCCCGTCTCCCACCAGCCTGGAATCCAACCTGACAGACGCCCCTACCACTCCGAAGAGTTTCCAGCAGGTGGAGGAGACGCAGCAGCAGCTTCGCCCGGGGTACAGTCGAGCTCCCTCGGGAGCTTCCTCAAGTCAGGGACCAGCGCCCTACCAGATGGACCGCCTGGAGAACATCCTCGCGACATTCATGGCGGGCATGGGCACCCACAACCAGGGCGTGCAGACCATGATTGCATCCATGGAGACCGCGATTCGGGAGGTCGCCATCAACCAGGGCCACATGCTGCAGTTCATGAGGGATCAAGCCACGGCCTCAACTCCGACCTCGGCTCCAGCACCGACGTCAGAGGGGCCAATGATGCAGGTGGGACCCAACGTTTGGGACATTCAGCATATGGCACACCTTCAAGCCATGCAGCAAGACCTTGGTCCCAGTGTTCAGAGCCTGGACGACTGGGAGCGGATGAATCCCAATGCCGAGAACATGTAGCTCCCAGGTGGCCGACATGGCTCACGCGGTGCGCTGTTGCCGCGACTATGGCATTTGTGCCATTCAATGATCTGACTCTCGAAGCCAGGGCTCTGGCCGAGAAGGCAAGCTTCACCTCCGACATCTATGTCTTCCACTCGGACACGGGTTCGAGGACACCCGACGTCCCATCAGGCATGATCGCTATGTTCGTCCCTCAGGGAGCTCGAAAGTGGACGGCCAATTCATCAAACGGCAAGCTCACCTGTCCAACCTTCCCAGACGGGGAACAACTTCTATGGCATGAAATCTATAACCAGGACACCGGAGAGGTTCTGGAGAAAGGCCCCCTCGATTACACGAAGGACTATGATGGACAGGGAGATTGCCGACTACAAGGACAGTGGTGGACCCTTCCAAGGAGCCACCGTCTTGGGCACTCCTGGGCCGCTTCGACGAGTGACATCCGAGGCCTGGATGAAGGCGGCCAGTGGAGTCATTCAGGGCCCTACTGGATGATAAGATCTCCAGCTCTCAGCACGCATCTCCAT